TGTATATACTAAAAAAAAAAAAAAACTTCAAAGCTTACAACGAGCCAAATATACATAAGTAGTGTTTTTCTTCTCAAAATCTAACGTTTTTTACGTAGATTCTGATTGTTGCGCAGGTCAAGGGTTTAATTAGCGCGTAAACTAGAAGTAAAATCTGCTTGCCTCGTTTATATACATATGTATTTGTGTGTGTGTATGTGCCTGTGTTGAGCTGCATCTGGACTAACCATTTGCCAAATTGCTTACAAAATTTTGATAACGCAAGTTCGGCACTCTTGAACACCTCATCAGCATTCTGCCCTGTTATGGGCATATGTATGTATGTCACCCTAATTTTCGACAAAATAAGTGTCTGTATTTGTTCGGGAGTCCTCGAATGACAAATAAGAATAACTATGCAACTTCATAAAATTCCGATATCTATTCTAAGACTTAAAACTTTAGTAAATGTTTGAAATATGCGTACCATTATTAGGTATATTATAATTAAGATTAATTTTAATTGATTAAACTTTACATTTGCATAAAAATATTTTGTATTTATTCAGGGTCTAATTGCACCATCCGACAAAATTTATCTTCTTTGCACCCAGAAAAGTAGAGACAAAAGCCAAGGTACCTGTATTTTGCTGTTTTTCTAGATCAATTCATTCTCGATTTATAATGGGAAAAACTACCCTAAATAATATTATCTACCTTGTCATTTTTCAAACTTCATTAGACTTCGTATGCAAGAGTTTTTGGGGTCGGTGATTACGAATCTAAAATCGTTTCTTAAAAATTCCAAATGAAACTTGACATCCAGCAGTTCTTTGAGTGGCTGATGTCCGAAAAAGAAATCGGAATGAATCAACATTTTTCTTTTTAACGTTCGCGCCAAAAGTAAATTTCTTTTTGGAAATTTGGTTAAAAATTATTTAAACATTTCGTTAAATCAACCAAGTAATATTCCTGGACTACTAATCCGGATAGGTAATGTGGTTAGCATTTTTAAAATGTTAAAAGTAATTTGAGATTAATCGACTACTGAGCTTCTTCTCAAATCTCAAATAACCGAAAATTGATAAAATTCAAAAACCGTTCTACTGTATTATATTCGGCCTCAGCGAAAAGTTGTATTAGAAATCATGTAAACATTTCGCAGATCTGAGCATTTATTATTTCTGAAAACTTGTATTGACATATAAAGGTTGATTTCCTACCGGGAACGCTATTTTGTTTCATGCAGTTTATAAAATAAATTATGGCATATTTTTAGGCGAATTTAATTTCTTGTCCAAACACATTGATGGCGCCGTACTACAAAGCCACAGTTCTAAAATTACACTGTGCTAGTTTCGAATAAATTCCGTCGAGCAGATCATCAGACGAGAAACGCCGTATCCAGTGATGATGAACGTTTCTTAAGGTTAGATCTGCGTTTCGAGATATTCAACTAAAATTAGCTTTTCCAACATAAACGTTTTAAAAGACGTGAAGTATGCTTTAGAATTATTCTGAAGGAGTTTTTCTTTCCTTAAAGCGCTCTTATGGCATGGAGTCCGAAAAAATGTATAATACTACAACGGGCGTAAACTTGCCTATTATAGAAACGGCCAAATGATAATTGCTTAATCCAAAATTTTTAGAATGGGTTCGCTCTAAAGCATGACGCTAAATATTAAGTTAATTTAGGAGAGTATTTCCAGACTCGCAGTGATCAGTATAAAAGGTGCTCTGAGAACCACACCGCCAGCGCACAGTGGTTCAAAATTCAAAAATCGGACTCAACTGGTCTCTTGTTAATTTTGACTTAGAATACGTCTTACTTTTCGATATGGAGGCTATACTCAAATGTTGTAGTTGCAATTTTTAGACCTTCTCGAAAACGCTTATTGAACGGGAACTAATGAAGCGATTGCAGAGAAAAGTGTGGCGTTTCAAAGATAAAACGTAACCAATTCGGTTTCTGTTGTGGAAACAACGGTAAATATTGGCTTATTTTGGGGTAAATTTTGATCTTTTAAAGTGCTCTAGCAAGTTATGATTTGCAGATATAACTTTCATTTTCGGTATATATATATATGTTTTTTGGAGCAATGGAAATATTAACGTGTACAAATTTTATTTAAATTCAGCAAATGTGTAATGTACCCACCTTTTCTTTCATTCTTGTATTAGATTTTTTCTAAGTGTTATTCTTTAACCTTCTACTAGCAAGTTTTTGTTAAATTAATACCATGTGCATACATTCAAGAAGTACTTGTTTCAGCCCCAATCATTTCCGTGTGCAATTTCCGTTGAATTTTCCAAATTTACTCCCAACCCACCAACCGCCGCTAAAGAAGTTTCACTACAAAATGGCAAGAATCATTCAATTTGGAACCATTTTCTACCAGGTACCGCAGGGACTAAGATTTATCCTTAAAAATCCTATTTATGGTCAGATTTGCTTTATATTTAGAACGCATAATAGCAACATAAAATTTGGTGTAACTTGGTAGCCTAATCGTGTGGTGCAAAAATATTGGGCTTTAGGCCCAATCTTGACAAAAATCCTATAAAACCGCCTTTAGAGAAGAAAATATAATATTTGTTTTACTTTCTTATTCTCTGCCGATTGTGATGAAAAGAAAGAGGAGTTTATGTACATAAATAGATGTTGGCAATTTAGTTTTAAACCTTCCAAGAGGCTCTCAGACCTATATAATCGAAAATTTTTGGTACAACGTATAACTGTGAGTCTTTGTACTCTACAATGAAATTCGTAAAGTCAAAATACCGTTCGCAATTAGTTGCATTCGCATACCTGATAATTATTGAAAGTTATAAAAACTATCAGCATCAGAAATTGAGAGAGCAAAATGGTACTTTATTTTGAGGGAATGCTGCTTATTTTCTGCTGGAAAAATTTTTGCCAACAGCAATTTGCCAACACGAAAACCGCTGATCAAAAACAGCTGGTTGGAATTCACGCAAATCCCTAATTGAATTTGATGGTTTGGAAGTTAAAATAGTAAAATGCGACTAATTAAACTTGTAAGTAGTAAGTAATTATTCGTTTAGTCATTGAACTGTGTCAGGATAAGACTTCGTGATTTGTTTTCTTACCAAATAAACGTTGGGCTTGGTTAACAATTCGAAAATGATTGGAAAACAAACATTTTTAGTAGGTTAGTATTCGATTAGAGAACAAGGCCATTCTCCAGCAAAACGGAACCCTCGTTATCCAATGTATTTTCCCTTCGTTATTAATTCGAAATCCAGCCCATTATCAAACTGAAATTTTAATGAGAGAGTGTGATTCTCTTAAATTCCCTGGGAGAATTGAGCTAGATTTCACAATCTCTGTTGTTATTATGGTTTCCATTTTTTTTCGAACCCATCTCCAGTGTATTTCCAACGTATGCACGTTGGAAAACTAAGGTTGGTTATGAGTTCGCTCTCAGTCCGATATGCATACTGGATATCGAAGGTCATTTTCGAACGTTCGCCAAAACGTGTATAGGGTTCGTTTCCAATTTTCTACTTTTAAATGTAAACAAAATTTCTATCAGCTGTTCGTCTAACTTGCAAGTTTCTGCAAATTTTCTGTTCGCGTACTATTTTAGATATTTTTCTCTTGTAAGAAAACAGATGACATTTCGCCGGAATTTTGCTGTTGGACATTTTTTACTGGAAATTTTAAACGAACGTAGTACCTATTGACTAAGCAACATTTAACAGAACTGTTACGAACGGCTTTAACTGACGTAAAACCAGATTTTGAAAATTTGACCAACATTTTCTTTAATATCTGTCTTACGTACATTATAATAATAATAAAATCAATGTTCTTCATTTCTAATAATAACTTTATTTAAAAATACAATTTTTGTTTTTGTTGTTTTTTTTTGTGGCTGTTTGTAGCATTTAGATTTTACAAGTGGCTCTTTTTGACCTCGGCCTTACCCACCCCTGAGTATATGCTAACATATTAGTCAGTCAGGAACCGTTAGGGATCTCATCTATACATACAAATACATATGCTTATTTTTTATAAATGAAAATCGTGGATCCTTTCTCGACATTTGGGCGATACTAGTTACACTAATTCGATAACCTTCGCTGATTGTATGAACCCCAGAAGAAGGTCAGCTTTAGACAAAACCGTCAGGACACAAGGATGTGGAAGGCTATGGAAGAGCTAACGAGCCAGCCAAAAACGGAGTTCTCTTAGATACCTTCATGTGCAGGAAATCAAACGATCTTAAGAACTTGTTATGTACCGCCAAGTGGATAAGTTTTGGAAACGAACTCAGGGTTTCAGACTTGAAAAAATTAGTAGGAGTTCATATGATAAGAAACTTACTAATTTCATACTACCAACAAAAACATGTTTGCTGGCAGCACATGCGTTTAAACTTATTCTTGCAGAAGCCAAAAATTTTGGTAAGTGTAAATACTACAAGAAAAGTGTGGAACATATAATTTTCGAGTGTCCAGCTCACAGCAGGCAAGGACTCGCTTTTTATTGTCAGCCAGCATTACCTTACTTAATCTAACCTACAAAAGTAAATATTGATATATCCTTAAGCTGGTATATGAAAATGAGAAGACAACATTAACTGATTTGTTTACAAATTCAAAAAAATATTTTTAGATCTTGGAATTAAACGAATTAATTGTCTTAGAGACTCTGAAGGCCTATGTATCATCGCCCACGAAATGAAACAGAAACAAGTTCAACATAAGCCGAATAATAAGATGGGATTAAAAACTTTTTAATGAAATTATGGGCAACGAAATTAGAACGGACTTTTTTAATATCCATTTAAGTCAATTCCTGATGTAGTGCAAGTCGTTCTTCCACCTAAAAATGTGAAAAATGTGAACTGGCAAAAGTAAATGAGGGAATAATTTGTATTGAATTGCTTATATTTTTCAAACGTATGTACATATATATTTACATATGTATTTACATTAAGTTTTTAATCACAATTAACTTTAAAGCTAACAAATTTCTTAGATTGTTTTTCCCGTTCTTCACTTTCATGTATGTATGTAAATAAATAATAAAAAATCACACAAAACATAAATAAAACAAATGTTTCGTTCCTAATTTAGTGCACATGTATGTAATTTTGCATACATACATACGTACGTGATGTTGAGGTAGATGAACTCAACCGTCCCAGGGCAAGCATTGCCCATCACCTTGACTCTGTGCTAACAGCGCCTGGCTGTACACCGTTTTCTGGATCGATTGTAACCAGTTCTGAAATGAAAATTATAGGAATAACTATATGTATAAACATGCAGACAGTTAAAAACTATTTATTTCGTTTTGGATAAACAAATAAACGTTGTAAAATACTAATAAAACCTAATTGTGTATTCAAAAATAAAAGAATTTATATTATGTTCGGACGCGCCCACTCACCTTTTTTGCTCGGTATTCTGTGGCTGACGTATTTGCGCGGTGACTGCTGCATTTTCGCTCTTTCTCGCGCTCTAACACGATCATCCTCTCGCTCGCTGACTTGCTCATCACCTGAACTAGACACTCGCTGATGTAGCAGCACATTGCCGTCACTGCGATAGCGCCGCACAGGGAACACTGTTTTACGCTTCACCAGCGTTTGCTGCTGCTCGGCCATATTCAACAGGCTGCCGCACGGCCGCTCTCCCACTGCTCCATTTGCATTCGTTGTTTTCAGCTGGCGCTGCGACCCACTTTCCGACATTTTCAGTGAACTCTTCGAACCACTACCTGTCGTGCTTTGCCCATTCTCTGTGGATGAGTTACGTAGTCGACGCCGACGACGATAGCGGCTAAAGCTTTCGTGCTGCACCACCAAAGTGCCCGCCTTGCTAGTGCGTAGAAAATAGCGCGGCGCATGGTACACCTCATGTTCCTCTGCAAATTCTGGCGAAGAGAAGCGTCCCTTATTGAAGCTAAAACGTTCCAATATCGATTCGGAGGTAGCTGGTGAGCGGCCTGAACTGTGGGAGCGTCGATAGCGACGCTTTTCGCGCGGGCCGGACGATGAAGAATTGGTGGGCGTGGTAGTGGTCGTAATCGTAGACGGCGGTGTTGGCAAGTCGGCGAGGTTGAACGAATTCTGTGTGCTTTTATTGGCGACAGCATCACAATTTACATTCGCATCGTCGTTGACCTTAAACCGCACGCCTTTCAGTGAATTGGCACGCCGCTGTAGCTTGTAGTCCGGCAGTTCATTGGTGTAAAAGTCAATGGTTGAAGATAGCGTGGAATTTTGCTCAGTTGTGGGTGTTGTTGCCGCGCTGCAGTTGTGTGTACATGCAGGTGAGGGTGTGGCCTCTTGTATTTGCAAACCGCTGAATTGCCGATCCAAAGCTTTTCTTATCGATTGCGCCAAATTCGTAGTGGCCGCTTTGTTGGCGCGCTTACGTGCCCGTGGCTGAGTCGCAGACGCAGGCTGCATTGAATTTCGACGCATCCCGTTTCGTGGCTGCTCATTTTGCGGCTGTTTGTAGCATTGCTCCAACTGACTATTCGCGTCCACCAACAGCTGACCTTTGTGGTCGTAGAGCAGAATGCGTGGCAGCGCTATATTTGCGCATGAACGCGCTGTACTCAGCTCCCAACGCCAATGCTTAGGTTTTCGCAGCTGTAAACTCAACACATTCGCGAACTCATCATCCACTTCATCGTTACCCTCGGCGTCGAAGGCGTGCGTCTCGCCAGTTGTTGTTGAACGTTGCCATGAGCAGTTTGTATCAGGTGTTCTAGAGCTGCTGAAACTGCATTTGTTGTTGTTGCTATAAATATCGTTATTGTTGTCGTTGTTATTTTTATGCTTGCTTTTGTGTTGTTTTGCATTTGTCAGCACTGCAGCCATATGGCACTGCTGAATGTCCATAAACAATTCAGACATTATGCAAAGGTACTAAGGGGCGTATGAGTGATCGATCAGCCCGTTGGTCGTGAGTAGGCGATGAACATTTGCTAGCTAGCGCACAGCTGTTCGTCGATTTCGCTCATCAACAAAAGGTGCACATTTTCACAAATTTTTTTTTTCGCTTATTCAGATTGTCTTTGGTCTTTGGTAGTTGACGCACAAACACACCTGTTGTATTAATTTTTATTTATTTACATTTACATATGTATGTACATATATTTGTTTTTGTTTTTCACTGTATTTTTTTCACCTATTCGCTTTGTTAATTTTCAATCACAACCACTGTACTCAGTGCTACTTCCTTCTGCGACAGCTGTCCTAACGCTGACTCGTCCAATGCCGCATCAGCTAAATATCTCAACGCTAAACAACAAAATCGCCCATATGAAAAGTCATTTCATACAAAATTTTTTTTTATTTAAATATGTACGTGTACACTTGCAGAGATAAAACTGAAGATGAAGATCATCATTTATCCGCTGGCTGTATGCCAAAACGAAACAAACAAACAAAATAAAATGAAAATAAAATGAAAACAAAAATTAAATTTAAAAATACTCGTATAAGCACATGTGTATGTACATACATATGTATGCATGTCACTCATACATTTTTTTTATAAATATGCCGAATTTTGAAGAGGCGAAATTTTTCTGCTCTTTCATTGATTCACTTTAGTTTTACATTTGATCAGCTGCTTTAATCAGTTTTGCGTTATAATTTGTATTCGTTTTTATTTGTTAATATTTTTTACTATTGCGATTTGTTGCATTTTTATTGCTTCACATTGATACCTTCACTTGCTCTAGTTGACAAAAAGCTTTAAGTAGATAGTATATTGTATACAAAACAACAAAACAAATATCTACGCTGTTAACGGCTATATATGTACATATTTATGCGCGATATTCTTTGCAACCACTAGGCCTACTGTGTTACCTATGCAAAAACCGAAGCACATACATACATACATTTTATCTAAAAGTACTTTATAGTATTCATCGCCGCAATTATTTATCCTCACCCGCACAACGTCCCGCATTACTTAGCGCTTATTTATAGAATGCGTATGCCATTCTCGAATATATTTTAAAGTGACGCGACGCTATTGGCGCACAGTGGGTTAGGAGTGTTTAAGTATGTGATTGTTTAGATACATCTACATATATATTAATACAATAACATAAAATTTGTCTCCGTTCGTTTGCCGGTTTTCACGAACCAATATCATTATAAGAATTATATTTTTCTGTAGATGAGCAGGGTTTATATTATTTCCAATTTAGTTGAAATTTACGGCCAAAATCGTCGTTTGAATATTTTTGTATTTGTGTACGGTTGTTGTTCAATTTGAGTTGTTTTCGCATTTCGTTTCATTTCGTATTTGAAATGCCAGTTTTTTATAAAGATAAATATTAATATGAAAAAAAAATTAAGGCAAAATTTAAGATAAAGACTAAATTATGATAATACATAAAATACATAATAATAAGAGTAAGAGAGAAAACTCAATGCAATTTTTCGAAAAGAATCCAAATATATATGTATACAATATCCAGTAATCAAAAATTAATTATCATCAAGGTTCTTATCAACAAAGTCTATACATAGTTATCGTAATTTATCGGATCATCAATGTTTACTAAGTTATCGGAGTGTATCAGGTTATTGAAATTGATCCATTTATATTGGGGTATCAAAGCTTATCGAGTCTCAGAGCTGTATCGATAGTTATCGAGTTAAAGAAATTGAACGAAACATCAAAATGTGTCAAGTTAAGAAATTTTATTTCATACGATATTTATTGAAGAAGTAATATTAATAGAAAAATTAAAATTTATAGAGTTATCGAAGTTTATCGAGTTAACGGAATTTATCGAGTTTTAGTGATGGATCGAGTTCACTCAAATGATCGATATTTATGGATTTAGCGAAAATGGTTAGTAGTTATGGAAATTTGTCGCTTTATGGAATCGAAGTTTTTGGAATTTTCAAAGTATATTGGGTAATCACAATTTCTAGAACTACATTAATTTATCGATTTATCACGATTTATCGAATTTTATGTAGTTACCAGAGTGTATCGAGCGATAGACATTTGTGGATTTGTGCAGTTATGGAAACACTCAGTTATCTAAATTTATCGACAGTTATCGAAATTTGTAGCGTTATCGAATTTTATCGAGTTATCGCGGTCTAGTGTTTGTGAAATTCATTGAAATTTATAAATTCATACAGGTTTTAGAATTTATCGAGTTATCGAGGTACATAGCGCCCCATGGTTCCCATGTCGCCCTAATTGACAACACAAGGCCCAACTGTTCAGGAGTATACCGCAGGAGGACCGAGTTCCTCCATATCTGGTGATTACGTTTCTGGGGTGAATATCCTTGCAAATATAAAAATATTGTCCAAGCTTCAATCAAAATTAGAAATCCAAGTTTCAAACACTATACAAAATTTAGAAAAATTCAAAATTTTCATGACAATTTCAAAATTTTTAATTTGAGTCTTTAGAACGTTTTATAGACCACACAATTTTAGTCTAATGAAGCGTCAGATTCAATCGGCTAAAAAAACGAATTGACTTTTTTTATTTTTTTGTGACGGCTTTTGCGGATTTGGTATAACAAGTGCGATTAAGAATAGAAGGTGTTGATTTTTTGAAATTTTATTGCGAATTCCCGTCTGCAGTTTATTTCTTAAGAAATAATATTTGTTTAGAAAAAAGTACAAATGATTCCGCCAGAAAGAAAAAATTATTAAAAATCAACGCAAAAAATGGTAGTTAACAACCAGTTAGCCTCACGATATTTATTTATTTGTATAGCTTAACGTAACCTGAACACTTTTATTTGGAGCAATTCTTTCACTCATTATGGT